GAGAGAGAGAGAGAGAGAGAGAGAGAGAGAGAGAGAGAGAGAGAGAGAGAGGCAGGCGGAAGAATGGATGGATGAACTGTTGGGGGCAAGCCTTTCTCTAAGGTTGTTTTTTTGCAGCTGTTTTTTTCTTTGTGATTCGATGTTTTTTTTTTCCCCCTGATGGGTTCGATGTTTGTTTGTCAGGTGAACAAGTCGAATGGTCCTTTCGACTGTCTTCTGTGCGTGGGGGCGTTTTTCCCCCTTCCGAAGCAAGAAATGGCTGATGACATTCCGCACAGAGAGGAGATTGAAAGTAGAACATGTGGAGGCGGTGGTGGATTGGAGAGGAGAGAGAGAGAGGAAGAGGAGCTAGAGATCTGGGACTTCATCGACGGCAAGGCCGAGTTTCCCATCCCGACCTACTTCATTGGCGGTTATGGTGTAGGGGCCAATACTGTTCTATCTGCAGCAGTAGTAGCGGCAGCAGCAGCAGCAGCAGCAGGAGGAGGAGGAGGAGGAGGAGGAGGAGGAGGAGGAGGAGAATCAGAAACAGTCCAAATCTGTCACAACCTCCATTTTTTGAAGGGGGCAGGTGTGACTTGCATTTCAGGTTGGTATCCCGACGCACCCATTCTGAAGTGATGACGGATTTCGTTGATCTCCTCCGCTTCCTCATGTTCGACTTTCAATCTCCTCCTCCTCTTCCTCCTCTCTTCCTCTCCTCCTCTCCTCCTCTCCTTCCCTCCTCCTCTCCTCCTCTCCTCCTCTCCTCCTCTCCTCCTCTTTCCTCCTGTTCTTCTTCGTCTTCTCTCTCTTTTTCTGCCTCCCCTCCTCTATGCACTTTTTTTTTTTGCCGTGGTCAGCCCTCCCTTCCGTCCTGTCTTCCTCTGCTCCTTGTTGCTTTTACTTCTTGTCTCCTCCTCTTCTCTCACCTCTCTATCCTCTCGTCCTCTCAATGCATTCCCCCCCCTCTCCGTCCAAATGCATATTGAGTGTTGTCTAGTAGAGCGAGGCCCTTGATCACCTGCATTTGGACGCTTTCTGGACCCGATGCATTCAAAATGCTGGACTCTCTGAATGCACCTGGTCCAGAACTCCATCCAAATGCATATTGAGTGTTGTCTAGTAGAGCGAGGCCCTTGATCACCTGCAGCAGATGTACTCTGCATTTATGTGTTTCTGCGATTTACTGGGTTCATGTTGTTTGCTTTCGGCCCTTCTCTTTTGCGTTCTAACTTTTTGCGGTCAACGACTCTTTTTCCAAAAATTGTGCTGTTCCAGGAGCCAAGGGACACTTGACCCGGTTTCCAGGAGCCTATGCTGGGTAATGGCCCCAGCTTCTTCTCGGGATTTTGTGGGTTTTCCTGGCCCCGGTCTCGTCCTCTTGGTTTTTGGTAATAAAAGCTTGTAATGGTTCTCCAAAAAAAAGAAAAAAAAGAAAAAAAAAAGTGCTGTTATTATGTATTGTGTGCGACTTTGCAATGCACCTCCTTTTTTTGCAATAACTTTAGTCCTGAAATTTGTACTGTTAGTAGCTAAGCGCATACTCAAAACACTACCGGGGGGACTTTTTCAACTGACCTCTGGACGTAATTGCGGTCAGGTGCATCCAGGCGTAGCCATAAAACCAGTCAGTTACATCCCGTACAGCCCCCCTAGTGTGAGTATCCCCTTCGAATTTGCATGCACTATGCCTCTTTATTCCCAAAATTCAGTCACATGCATGCACTATGCCTCTTTATTTCCAAAAACAAAGTTCAGTCACAAGGCTCACGACCTCCAAGCATGATTTATTTATTTATTTATTTATCATTTTATTTTTACCTCCAGTTCACACGAGCCTGTGTTGACGAAGCTACCTTCCAAGGCTTGCGAGCCTGCCACTGCGCCCTTTCTAAGTGGCCTCCCGCTTTGTGACCGCTCCAGGCCCGAATTGCCCTAATCGAAATGCTCCTACCCCGTATATATATATATATATATATATATATATATCACAGCCCCTCGTTTGTTGTCCTCTTCTCCCTCTCTGCCTACGGTTTACCGGGCAGTTCTATTTGACGATATATATA